GCCCGTGCCCGGCGGCCGCTTCACCCCCTCGTCTTCCCTAGGCAACAAGGTGTACGTCCACCCCGAGTCGCCCAACACCGGGGCTCACTGGATGAGGCAGGAGATTTCTTTCGGGAAACTGAAGCTGACGAACAATAAAGGTGCTAACAACAACAACGCCCAGGTAAAATGGGGTGGGGAGGTAACGGTGGCTGCGGCTCAGCCGGGGGAGCCCTGGGGTTTTGGGGCTTTACAGCATTTAATCGAGATGCTACATCTTGCGATTTGTTCCCTTCTTGAACTGGGCTGTAGATCTTGTTTTCTGATTGTCTTCATAAGGAGAAGCAACGTCAGAAATAACGTGTAAATTTCTTTGTCTTTAGCTGATACATCTATCTCTGGATTTGATCAAAACGTGGGAGTGTAGCCAATAGCTCTTGATTTCCTGCATTTACACGTTTAGTAACCTAGTGAAACAGGGCTACGAGCTGTGAATCATCTTCTGCTAACAGTTAAAACTGCTCTACTCCCAGGTCAAAAGATTGCAATTTACAGGAAGAAAATCTTGGGCTATAAAATAGATATTTTAATGTTAGATGCAGTTTGTCTAAGGATCCTGTCTCTTCCATGGTTCCTTTCAGATGATAGTACTGCAATCTCTACACAAGTACCAGCCCCGGCTTCACATTGTGGAAGTGACTGAAGATGGTGTTGAAGATCTGAATGATTCCTCGAAGACTCAAACATTTATTTTCCCTGAAACGCAGTTTATAGCAGTGACAGCGTATCAGAACACTGATGTAAGCATGGGTATATAGAACAACAATAAGAATAAAATTGTCTTGTGGGTTCAGCATCCCATCTTACCATATTCTGGTTTCACTTTTAGATTACCCAGCTCAAAATTGACCATAATCCTTTTGCAAAAGGCTTCAGAGACAACTATGACTCGTAAGTACACATATGTCTTCTTTTGCAGCTGTCTCTGCCTAGGAGGCAAGGTTCTGGCCTGAAATGCATGTCAGAAGAGAGTTTCTTTAGACACTACTTCAGTTACTTGGAAGTAGCAATACTTCTACCGGCAGCTTTGCTAAGCTGATGCACTCCTTTCAAAGCCATTAAATGTCTGTCTGAAGAGTTACTGTATTGTCTTGACCTGTCTTCCAGCAGGCTTCTCAATTTTGGTATAAAACTTGTACTGGCAGAACCTAGCTGACCTGCAGACTGGCAGTAGTGTGTGTGGTATCTCCACAGAGCAGGCAGCTTCTTCAAATTGTCAGCAGAAGACTTGCCTAATGCTCTTTCTAGCATCAAATGGCCCTTGAAAAGCTGGAGCTGTATGTGTACAAGTATGGCTTCTGGGAGGAAGGTGCTGTACCTCATTTAAAACGGGTTGGCTGGCAGAGAACAAGTGTGTACTTGTGGCAGCAATACTGTAAATTTTGTACTGCTCTAGGAAAAACAAACTGAAGTCCTAAATTGGATAAAAATGAACAGCCATCCTGTTAAACCTAGCTGTGGTTCTAATTAAGAAATAACTCTTGTTTCTTCCTGTTTGTGTCTTTGTGTTGTCTGGCTCTTGTACTGGAATTGCAAAGAACAATGCTCAGTATTTCTCTTTTATGTTGTAGCATGTACACAGCTTCAGAAAATGACAGATTAACTCCATCTCCCACGGATTCTCCTAGATCCCACCAGATCGTCCCTGGCGCCCGGTACAGCGTGCAACCGTTCTTCCAAGAACAGTTTGTCAACAACCTGCCCCCAGCCAGGTTTTACAACGGTGAGAGAACCGTCCCTCAGACAAACGGCTTGCTCTCCCCGCAGCAGAATGAAGAGGTGGCCAGCCCTCCTCAGCGGTGGTTTGTCACGCCTGTACAGCAGCCCAGTGCCAACAAACTGGACATGAACTCCTACGAGACGGAGTATTCTCCTAGCACCTTGCTCCCTTACGGCATTAAATCCCTCCCCCTTCAGACATCCCATGCTCTGGGGTACTACCCTGACCCGACCCTTCCATCCATGGCAGGCTGGGGGAGCAGGGGCTCTTACCAGAGGAAAATGACAACAGGATTACCTTGGACCTCCAGAACAAGTCCTCCAGGCTTCTCTGAAGACCAGCTTTCCAAGGAGAAGGTGAAAGAAGAAATCGGCTCATCCTGGATAGAGACTCCACCCTCCATAAAGTCTCTAGATTCAAATGATTCTGGGGTCTACACGGGTGCTTGTAAGAGAAGACGGCTCTCCCCTAGCACTTCCAGCAATGAAAACTCCCCGACTATGAAATGCGAGGACGTTAATGCTGAGGACTATAGCAAAGACACTTCAAAAGGCATGGGCTACTACGCGTTCTATACTAGTTCTTAAAGCATCCTTTTGTTCCAATTGGCTAATTTTTTCAGGGTGGCCTTGGTTTTTTTTGCATTACAATTGCCAAAAAGACTCTTGCCTTCCACCTTGAATTGTTGTGTGCAATTCTAAAGAAGGTGCCAAAGGTTTTTGACTGTTGCAGGTGACAAAGTAGGGAAAAGAGCAAAGGATGGTAGAATTCTTCCCCTCTTTTAGAAGGAACCACATGTGGAAGCTGTAAGCAGGAGCCTAGATTTTTATGATGTGGCTTATTTATTGGAGACACTAAAGTGTACAGTTAGGCTTGGCTCAGAGGCCCGATCAAATCTATGCACTCCTGAGCAAGGAAATAGGAGGGGGTAGGATCCCAAATTTAATTTTCTTCCCTGCCTGCCCCTCTCACAAAAGGGAGCTGTGTTGCAGGGACCTGCACAAATGCTATGTTCTGCTTTAGACTGAGCTGGCTTCTTCAGCCCTTGTCTGTAGCACGGTTGGCTGAGGCTGCTATCGCTCAGCTAAGGCTTTCTTTGGCAGAAGACGGCCAAGATAAGGCCTGCTTGCCAGGCAGGATTTTGACTTGAAGGTCTTATTGCTAACGATGGGGTTACAATGACCAAATCTGACTTTTCTTAGTTTAGAACTTGCATTAAGAAAAACATGCCTCCATCCCAAAAGCCTAACCTTTATCGAGGTGGCCAAAAACAAAGTGTACAGTTGTGTTTTGTCTAGGTACACTGTAGAATATTGTGGAATAATATATAAATAGTTGAACTATAGCTGTTCAGTCAGAAGGACCTCCGGTGGTGCTTTGAAGTTCAAAAGGCTTTCTTTTTTGGTTAATCAAAGTTAGCATATGGAGCATTGCAAACAAAAAACCATTTTAAGGGATTTCTGTTTATGTGTATGTAAAGTGACTTTTTTCAGCTGCCCTGTACAAAACTGGAAGTGTTGTAACTTACCCACTCTTCTTGCCTATAGTTTCAGCCATTTTAAACTGATCAGCCCTAGAGCACTGGCACATGAACCTCTCCCAAAAAAACTTGGTTGTTTTCTTTTTCTATGTACATAGTAGTCATTTTTAATAAATGTGGTGGTGCCAGGGGTAAGAGGGGGTGGCGCTCTGCCTTTTCTTTGCCTCCATCACATATCCCAGCTTGGGGGGGGGAGGAGGAGGGAGCCCAGTCCTTGAGGTGCTGCATTCCTGAGGAACAGGGGCTGAGGTGTCTCTGAAGTCTTAACCATCCCTTGCAAAAGTTTTTCCTTGCAGCTTCATCCCTTATACTCTGCTTATCGGGATGCTGCTAGTAGCTGTTACCTGTTGGGATTTTGTTTGTGTGTTTGGTTTTTGTTTTGGTTTTTTTTTGTTTTGTTTATTTTTTTAATTGTATCTTACAGTTCTTTGCCCTGGCTTTCCTGTGCATCCCCCCAAGCTCTGAGCCCCTGATTTGGTCCTCGGGGCTGCGGGAGGCGAGGTGCAGGCTCAGCCCCTCGTCCCCGGGAGCTACTTGCGAACTGGGCTCACCTTTCCCCCCAGCCCCCCGCCGCCGCAGCGGGGCCGGCCCCTGCCTGCCCCCTCCGGTTCCCGGAACGCGGTACGAAATTCCCCTGCCCGCTTATCTGGGGAGAAAGCCCCTCCTGGTAGAGCAATTGAATCCCGCGGCAGCGGGACCTTTCATGAGGATATGCAAGGCAGTAATGGGATTAAACTGTTAGCGGTGACCGGCTCCAAACAAAATACACCGGGGGCTGGGGCCGGGGCCCACCCCGGAGGAGGTAACGCCACCGGGGGGTAGGGGTAGCGTCCCCGTCCCGCCTTCCCCCCCCGCCGCTTCGGAGCCGTGGGGTTCCGGCGAGAATTCGAGCAGA